AATTAATTGAACTAAATCCTAATTTAAAATCTTTTTTTAAAAAGCTCTATACTTTAAAGATAACCAAAATGAGTAAGTAATTGATGTTTTGTATAAGATATAGTATCAATATATATGTGTATATATATATATATATATATATATATATATATATATATATATATATATATATATATATATATATATAATATAATATCAATATATGTATATATGTGTGTATATATATATATATATATATATATATATATATATATATATATATATATATATATATATATATATATATATATATATAATTTTTATATGTTTTTTTTATTTATATATATTACTTACCATGCTACATAAAGATCAATAAAAGGTCATTTTTTTGCTTTGCTTATTTCCTCCAAGTATTTAGTAAAAGAAAAAAAGAAAATGAAAAAATTATGGCTGTCCATGCCCAAACCTGTAGTTTGTTGGTACTTTCTTGCATGTAGAGTTGAGCTTTTATTGACTTTTTAATTTACTTATAAATATTATTAGAATCATTCATCAATAATCATAAAAAATCATATTAATTTTTTTTGTAGTAGGTTCATAAATCAACATTTCTTTTGAATATGTTTTGACTTTTTCTTTAGAATTATAGCGCTGTTTTTTGGTCAAATGCTGAGTTGTGGTTTTGCATTGATCATTGATATTTTCCGAGACACACACTTCTTAAAAGTATTCATTTTCAAAAGTCATTTGGATTCACTTGGGAAAGGCTAGAGAAAAAAAAATGTTTATGCAGTCTTTTGAGTATAGAATTTAAGACATTTTAAAAATTTTATTTTCTTTATTGTTGAATAAATATTCTAGATTGGAAAGGTATCTGCACTGGCTTTTATGACTGCTCTGCTTTCTCCCTTCAAAATGTTTCAAAGTTCACTCATTATTGCAATGCAAGGAGTTGAATCTTGCTGTTTTAGTCTGTTCATAAGAAGCTTGTAATTACTCTCAATAATATAAAGAGTTGCATTTTGTCAGTAAAGGGGCCTGCTGCCAATTTGGCTTTTTCCAATACTTTATGATTGAATCTTTAACTTTGAGAAACTGTTGAATCTTCAACTGAAGACTATTCTATAGCCAATCACATAATTTTCTTGACAACTATTATTAATGCTTAATGGCTAATGAGTGGCGTAGAGTCATATTTATAATTTCATTAACTGTAATCATTTTTTTTTTCTTTCATATTTTTTGGTACTAGTTTTTTAGCTCTTCTTTGCACTTTTTCTAACTTTAAAATGTCTTGTTACAGATAAGCACACTATGCTTGAATAGCAAACTCAAGATGTGATTATACAAAATTTGTATTGTAACTTTAAATTATATTTAAATCAAAGTATTCAAAACTTATCAAAAAATATTATTTTTCTCCCAAATCCCGTTCTACTTCTGATGTTGCTGAGATATTATTTTGTTGGGTGTTGAACATTGAATAAGTTTTACATGGATTTTTAAAACCAATGTGCATAGTTTTACATTTTTTTAAATTGAAATTCAATAACCATAATGGCAACTATTTCATAATATTATGATATCTTGTTCTAACTTGTTAATGTGTATAACTTCATCTGATTTAATAATATTTATAATTTTGCTATCATCAGCATATATTTTAATATGATTTTTTACTGTGTCTGGTAGATCATTAATAAAAATCAAAAATAGAAAAGGTCCAAGAACAGAACCCTATGGAACAAGGAGAGAACCCTATGGAGCTTTACTCTCAACTTTTAACCATTTTGATAAACGTTTCTCTAAAATTACTTGCTGCTTTCTGTTATATAAATAGTCTACTATCCAATTAAGCATTATTCCGACAATACCATATGGTTTTAAATTTATAATCAATAGCATATGAGGTACTTTATCAAATGCTTTTTAGAAATCTGTATACAAAATATCAACACACCAGCCATTTTCAATAGCATCAAATAAAATTTGTTATGTTTTAAGTAGATTTGTGGTACAGTTTTTGTTTTTTCAAAAACCATGTTGGTAATATTTAATAAATAGTTTGTTAACATGTATTGCATAATTTTGTCACTTAAGATTGATTCAATAATTTTGCATGGTGTTGATGTTAATGAGATTGGTCTATATTTTGCTGGATCATTTTTATCTCCCTTTTTTGTACAGTGGTGTTACATTTGCCATTTTCCAATTGTTTGGAACTTTTTCTTTTTTTAAGGATCTTTTGAATAGTAACTCTAGAGGTTTGAAAATACTTTTTTGAACTTTTTAATAACAGGTATGAACCTATACCATCTGCTTCGAATGCTTTATTGACATTTAGTTCACCAAATGTCAACAACTGAGTCAATTTAATTCTAAAGTCTTCCTTGTTTATACTGTAATATTAGAAAAATTGGTTGAATCTTTTATAACAAATAAAGTTTTCATTGAGAATATTAACAATACAATCACAATTTGTAAGTAAAGAACCATTTTTATCCATTATTGTATTAACACCCAATTTAGTTTTTTTTGTGTGAATTTACATAAGCATAAAAAAGTTTTGGATTTTTTTTTGATGACTCTACTATTTTTATTTTTTCATAATTTATTCTTTTTGATTTAACTAGTTCTTTAACTGTTTTGTTGATTAAAGTATATTTGGCTTTCAGTTTTTTTCAACATTTAAACCATTAAATAATAATTTGTGCAATAAACTTTAATCAAATAATAACTTGTTTTATTTTTAATTGCTTTTTTTGTTTCTCTATCAATCCAAGGTTTGAGTTGTATTTATAAGTTGTATTATTGAAGTATATTTTCACCTCAAAGCAAGAATGTGATATCTAGGTTTTTTGTTTTGTGGAGAAACTTTTCTCCACTAAACAAAAAATCTAGACGGTGTGTTTTTGCTTTGAGGTGACGAATTATTTTCATGTTTATCAATTTTCATGTTAGAGCATAAATCACTCATTTCAATTATATTATAATTGAACTGAATATTTTATGCTCTAACATGAAAATTGACAAAAAACCTAGATGGTGCATTCTTGCTTTGAGGTGACAATATATATTTTTTAAGAATGTATTTTTGTCATAATTCATTATAGAATATATTATATTTAGGAATATTTCATAGCACTCATTAATACTAATATTTTTAAAAAGGCCTTTCCTGTCATTTTCATTGATTGCAATGTTTATGTCTGTGTAATTACCAAGTTTATAATCAAGTGTAGATTTCCCATAATTTGCCATTTCAATTTTAGTAGTGTTTTTGACAAAGTATTTCCAGCTAAGTATATGGTGTCCGCTTCTAGTGTTGCCTAGAGTTGGGTTATGATGGATTTTATTTATACATTCTGGTACTTCTGTTAAAATTAATTCTAAGATATTACCATTTTTAATTAAATCTGAATTATATGTAGGTGATAAAACTACTTGATGTAAGTAGTTATCATTTATATATTCAACAAATTTGGTGGAACATTTATTTTTCCACAACAACATCTGTGCATGAGGGGGTAGATGTTGTTTTTGCCTCCAATGCCTTATTTCTTTTAAATTTCTGTTAATTTTTGTTAGATCAATAGTTTTTAAAGTTTTATTTCCTTTTAATTTATCCATTGTTGTTAAAATTAGTTGATAATATTAACAATGCAAACCGTTTTAACGATGCACTCTGACATAAATAACAAGTTTAAGTTTCAATAATGTAAAGTTTTTAACTGGATTTTCAAGTTTCCCGCTCAAAAATTGTATTTTGTTATTTTTTCCACCACCAAAAACAATTTGAAAAAAAATGTGTATCAATTTTAATCTTTAATGTAATCAAAAATCTTCAAACAAAAGCGATAAAACCAAATATTCACAACTTTTAATATCTCTTCAATAATGGAAGTTGTATAAATAATGTTCCATAACATAATAATATGATAATATTATAATGTTCCATGCTTCTTCATTGTTTACAACAACACTAACAACACTATTTCATCTTTTCCATCAAGCTTTTTTTTTAGAATTTTTACCTTTTCGTCCAAATCTTTGATTGCTGTCATCATCATAACTCTTAATAGAACTTTTTGCACAAATTTTTGTTGATATTTTATTAATGTACTCTTTTTTCTTGAAACAATAGCAATAGATTTATATTTGTTTAGAACTTTTACAAAATTACATCTGCCATCTTGATACAGCCCTTCATCCTAGTTATAAATATCATCCGCTTTCACAGCAGCCTTTATTTCATCAGGCATAGTACTTATTAAAGTTTGCAATGATTTAGTTATTGGTCTTGGTGGTACCAGTGGAGTCAGAGTTTCACTTGGATTTACACAAGATAATACATAAATTAATTAAAAATTTTCATTGTCTTTTTGCCAACGACCTTCACAAATAAAAGTATTTGGGCTATTTAGAAACTAAAACTTGTAAACTGTTTATTTCTAAGTTGTATATTTACTCGGCCAGCCACTGTAGTAAGCCATGACTAGTCTTTAAAGATTATTAGGTAATCATATCCTAATGCATTTTTAGCTATGCTGATATTGAAAGAATGGAGTTTGAATAGAATGGGAAAGATAATGATCAGATAGATGTGTTGTGTAAAGGACAAGGAATTGAGAAGATTTTGCAAGAAAT